GGCCACCGTCGACGCGGCCGCCAACCGCATGGTCGCTGCCGGGCTCGCCGTCATGGTGGCCTCGGGCAACGGCGACCGCAACGGCACTCCGCTCAACGCCTCGACGCAGTCCCCGGCGCGCGCTGAGGCCGTCTGCACCATCGGCGCGACCGACAGCCAGGACGTTGTCGGCTCCTTCTCAAACTACGGCCCCGCCCTCGACCTGCACGCGCCCGGCGTTTCCATCCTCAGTCTCGCCCCCGGAGGCCGCACCGCCACCCAGTCGGGCACCTCGATGGCCACGCCGATGGTCGCCGGCCTCGCCGCGTACTACCTCGGCTTGGGTCTCACCACGCCCACCGACGCGTGCACCTTCATTGCCTCCAAGGCCCTCGACGGCGTCATCACGGGCCTCCGCTCCGACACCAAGAACATCCTCGTCCAGAACAGAGTGTTTGTACCTCCGGCGAACGGTACTGCTCCTTACACTGGTAACGGAAGCGCCGGCAACAGCTCAGCACCTGCCCCGGTCCCGGTCCCGGCCCCCGTCGTCGGCGGTGGCAAGCCCATCCTGCCCCCGCCTGCCACGAACGGCACGATCAAGTGCCACAAGCCTGCGCGCAGGCTTTGGTAGATGTAGGCGTAGGTGAAGAGAGGGAATAGCGTATATACAAAGTATATACTCGCGCACGTGTTATAGGGGTTTAGACGCGGTGTTATGCATATACAGCGTACACACACAAACATATAGCAGAATTCTTTTATATTCACCCCTAGTTTACTTGACAGGGGACACAAATACTTGACACATACACATCTTTGTAATATTCCTCCCAAGCGTTCTAGCACCGTGACCGGAATTCTGTGACACGTGTCTAGTCGTCTATTCAAAGTCCTCTGGAGTGTCAGCGAAAGAGGGATGGAGCTCTGAGATGCGTGTAAATCACCTTTACAAATCAGTCCGCAGCAAGCTTGAATTGTGGCTGTGGTCGCCGATCGTGCTCGCCTGCATGCATGCATGCATGCATGGTGCCCTGAACCGTAATTAGCTCCCTGCCAAGCATGCCCGTCTCTGATTGGGCAAAAGGGGAGAGCATCAGCCGCTGTTTCACGGAGATACGCCAGGGGCAGGTCTCGGAGGGATCTGATTATCATAATGGTGGCCATGGGGCTAACGCGCATGGCGATTTGCTGGTTTAATTCGGGCAAGATGTTTATCTGATCGTGCACACAGAGATACCTAAGAACAAGGAGTGCTGTTGCTCTCAGCCGGTGCCGGAGACTCGGAGGAGGAAAGTGGAGACCCGGATGCGGAGAGGGCCGGTGTGCCCGCCCGACGACGGAGCGGGGTGCGGGGAGGTGAGATGAGGAGACTGCCTGCTCACGTTATTCGTTCGCCCTTTGCCGTCATCCCCGTCTCCCGTGACACTCACTCGAATCGACCTCGGGACAGCCAAGAGACGAGCACACCAGCACGGTTCGGAACCCCCAAAAAGTACCTACAAAAATGGCCACCACGGCGTCGTCAACCGCGCCCTCGACGGCGGCAGAGATATCCCGGCTCGTCGACGCCCACCGGCCCGACCTGGCGCCCCTCGAGGACCTGTACAGGTACTACCACGCCAACCCGGAGCTGTCCAACCTCGAGCGCGACACGGCCGCGCACATTGCCGACCGCCTGCGGGGCATCTCGCCGGACTTTGTCGTCAAGACGGACATTGGCGGGCACGGGCTCGCCGCCATCCTCGACAACAGCCCGGGCAGCCATGACGGCGGCGAGTCGCAGACGCGACGAGGGAGCGGCAAGACGGTGCTCCTCCGCGCCGACATTGACGCCCTGCCCATCCAGGAGCTCACGGGCCTGCCGTACGCCAGCACGCGGCGCATGGCCGCGCACGCCTCGTCGTCATCGTCGTCGTCGTCGTCGTCGTCATCAGGAGGTGCAAGCGGGGGGCAGCAGCAGCAGGACGAGAAGCCCGTGATGCACGCGTGCGGACACGACATGCACATCACGGCGCTGCTCGGCGCCGCCCAGCTTCTCGTCTCGTGCGCGGATTCGTGGCGCGGGTCGCGCCTGGTCCTGGTGTTCCAGCCGGCCGAGGAGCGCGGGACGGGCGCGCGGGCGATGGTCGACGACGGGCTGTACGACGCGGGCCGGCACGCGGTCCCCGTCCCGGACGTCGTGCTGGGCGCGCACGTCGTGGGCCGCAGGGCCGGCAGCGTGGGGACCCGGCGCGGTCTGATGGCCACGTCGGCTGACTCGCTGCGTCTCACGCTGCACGGGCGGGGCTCGCACGCGTCCATGCCGCACCGGTCCGTGGACCCCGTGGTCATGGCGGCCGCGACCATCATGCGGCTCCAGACCATTGTCGCGCGCGAGATGGACCCGGCGGACGAGACGGCGAGCGCCGTGGTCACGGTGGCCAGCGTGCGCGCGGGCGACGCCGAGAACGTGATATCCGACCGGGCGGAGCTGTCGATCGACGTGCGGGCGACGGACGCGCGCACGCGCGAGAGGGTGCTGGCGCGGGTGCGGCAGATTGTCGCCGCCGAGAGCATGGCGAGCATGGCGCCGCGGGACCCGGAGTGGATCACCACCCGGGCGTTCCCGCTCACGGTCAACGACGTCGGCGTCACGGCGGCGCTCGAGGAGGTGTTTGCCGCGCACTTTGGCGAGGGCGAGGAAAAGTACGACAGGGACGTGCCAAAGTTTGCGGCCAGCGAGGACTTTAGCATCCTCGCGTCCGCCGTCGGCAGGCCCTACTCGTTCTTCATGTACGGCGGGACGGACCCGGTCTTGTGGGACAGGGCAGAGGCCGCGGGCACGCTGGACGTGGATGTCCCCGGTAACCATTCGGCGTACTTTGCGCCCGTCATCACGCCGACGCTCAAGGCCGGGCTGGATGGGTATGCTGCGGCCGCACTGGCGTTTTTGATGTAAGTTTGGGAGAAAGGGGAGAGTGCAAGTAGAAGTTGAAAGTGGAGTGCAGCTCTAGTAATTAGGGAACAAAAGCCGATGTGAGTCCTTCAAAGCTGGCCGGCGTCTCTCTTTGTCCTCTCCGTGTATCCAAAAAGAAGCAGTAAGTGAATATACTATAGCGTATTTACTCGAGGGCACGTCGCAATATTAAAACAGGTCAGTGGTTTTCCTGCATCGAGCAGCCTACAAGGGGAAAGTCGTCACATCATGTCGAGGCCACGCCCAAGGTTCAGAGCAGCAAGACACTGTGATACAAGTCATTATTCAGACATGGACGTAATCTAGTAGTGACTGTCTCCTCCTCCTCCACGTACACGAGACAAGCAAACATACAAACCCATGAACGCAAAAAAGCTCGCTTCCTGTTCCCAAAACAGTTCAAGATGCACACAACAACTAAGTCCTACAGCTTGGCCCCGCCCTTGCGCATGGCGCCGACCTTGTCTAGCACCTCCTCGGCGTCGCGGATCAGGGTGGTGGCGAGATCCTTGCACGTCGGGATGTCGTGGATCAAACCGGCGCACATGCCCAGGGACCAGACGCCGGCGTCGACGTCGCCCGTCTCGTAGACGCTCCGGCCGCGCTGGCCGCTCATGAGGTGCGCAATGTCGCCAAACTGGACGTCGGGCTTTGTGTTTTCAATCTGGTGCGCCTCGAGCGAGACCTTGTTCTTGTGCAGCCGGCTCGTGTTGCGGAACTTGCGCAGCACGAGCACCGTGTCGTGCTCGCTGCACCGGACAATCTCGTCTTTCACGTTTTGGTGCACGGGGCTCTCGACGGTGCACATCCAGCGCGTGCCCATGTTGACGCCCGCGGCGCCCAGGGCCAGCGCGGCCGCGACCTGCCGGCCGTTGGCGAACCCGCCCGACGCGAGGTACGGGATGGACAGCTGCTCGGCGCACAGCGAGAGGAGGGTGAGCGACGTCGTGTCGTACTCGCCGCCGTGGCCCGCGCACTCGATGCCGTCAATGGACACGGCGTCGACGCCCAGCTTCTGCGCGCGCAGCGCGTGCTTGAGCGCGACGCACTTGTGGATCACGACGATGCCCGCGGCCTTGAGCATGCCCAGCACGGGGCTCGGGTCGCCCGCCGTCTCGACGACCTTGATGCCCTCGTCGATGCAGACCTGTGCGTACGCCTTGTAGTCCGGCGGCACCATGGCCGGGAGCAGCGTGATGTTGACGCCAAACTGGGGCGCGTCGGCGTCCAGCAGGGACCGCGTCCGCGCAATCTCCTTGCGCAGGTCCTCGGGCGTCGGCTGCGTCAGCGCCGTGAGCAAGCCCAGGCAGCCCGCGTTGGCGACGGCCGCCGTCATCTCGGCGCGGCCAACCCACATCATGCCGCCCTGCACGAGCGGGTGGCGGACGCCGAGGGTCCGCGTGAGCCAGGTCTGGAAGGGCATGATGGCGGCGTATATGGTGGTGGTGGTGGTGGTTTTGTCGAGGTGGCCACAGAGGTGAGGATGGCTGGTGGTGAGAGGACGTTGTTGTGCGAGTCGGGGCGAGAAAAGAGGGCAGCCGAGCAGGAATTCTAGAGTCGACAGTAGTCTATATCTGTTGACGGTGTCTGACAAGCGAGAACAGTAAGTAGCAAAAGAAAAGAACAGAAAGCCAAGGGAAGGGAAGTGCAGCAGAGCAAACGGGCCCGAGCATGCTGAGCCGAGCTTCAGCACACCCAAACGCGCGGAGTTGCCGGCCGCCCCGCGCCGACAGCACAGCACAACCCGGGGTACCTGCGTGGGCGCCGCGCAATGGGCCGAGGCTGTTTATTCTACCTTGGGGTACAGAGTACAGACAAGCTCCCACTCCTTGCTGGTATACCGAACAATCACATTTTTGTCGGCCCTACACCCACTGCCACTTGCTGCTGTTAGGAAGAGGCAATGCCGAAGCGGAGAGTGAATCGACAAGTCCTGTGCAGAATGAGACTTTGAAACCTTCCAAAGCGGCATGCTCCCCACACGCGACACTATTATTGCAAGTCAGGGTGAGTCTCCAGCATTCATATTTATGTGTAAGACCAGAAGCTTACATCAATCACATCCGAATTGGTGTAATGGTTAACATTTGACGCTCTCACTGGCTCCTCTTCCCCGAGGATACCCACTGTTCCGTCAAGCTCGGGGTTCGATTCCCCGATTCGGAGCATTTCCTTTTTGTGTCCACTACCTTTTGGTGCTGCCGACGTACTCTCTCTCAGTAGCCTGTCGACACTGTCTGTCTTCTATCCTCTGTTCAGGTCCTACTAGGCTCGTTTGTCATGTTACCCCGACAGAACGCAGTGCACTCACCCTTTTGGTTATATTTTAGGACACGTAGATCGTACACAAGCTGTCCAATACGCACTAGGCGCGCACGCGAGGCCCAAGCACGCATGCCTTTTCGAGTTGACTTGGCTGTCTTTCATTTAAATCAAGTATACAACGCCGGTACTCCGTTTCCCCAGTCTTGAAATCTTCAGAACCCAACGTAAACCCCCGCAACAGTGACGGGCATACATATGTACAAATCAAGAACCCCTCCTCCAATAGACGCTTTTCGACTGCGGATAGACGGAAACTGCTGCCGATAGGGCCATCCCTACTAATTCATCAACCCTCAGTCGTCCCACTCCTCGTCGTACTGATCAATCAGCCGGTTCTCGGCCTCGCGGTCCCTCCCTGCGCTGGCTCCCGAGGATGACCCGGCCAGGTGGTGGTAACCGCGCCGGTTGGGCAACAGACGGGCGCACGAAGATGTGGCAATGATGAAGAAATCCTACAAAGCAAGAAACGGGGCGACATTGAAGGCATAAGTTAGCGCGGAGGGCCACCACTGATTTTGGAGTATGGGTTCGAGAAATGACTGTGTGGTGGCAAGTGCTCGTCGGACGAGTCCAGCGAGCAGTAGCGGACAAGGAGGGCAACAAGGGGACGAGGGAGACGTGCGCTCAGAAAGCTCCAGAGACCAGCCCAGAGCGAGTAGTTAGGCAGCTGCTTCCAGCCGCGCGAGTGGTTGATGGTGCGGTTGTAAAAGATGCCGCCGAGCAGGTAGACGAGGATGGCAACGACAAAGATGATGGCAAACACGGAGCCGGGGCCAACGCTGCCGGGCTTGTGCGGCTCCGCGCCGGCGCATGCGTGCTGCGAGCGGACCTTGAACACGTAGTTGCACTCCTCGGGATCCGTGGCGATGAAGGAGGCTATGGCGGCCCCGGCCGTCGGGTCCTTGTCGCACGTGAACATGATGGTTGCAGACTTGCGCCGGCGGTTTGCCTTGGACTTGTCCTTGCTGCCGGATGAGCCGTTATCGTTACTGCTGTCCTCGTGGTTCTTAAAGTTGGCGCCCTCGTGCACGGCGCCCCTCGCACTCGGCCCCGTCCTGTCGCTGCGCTTGCTCGAAGAGCCCGGCTTTTCGCAGTATGAGCCGCCCGTGTACTGCAGGACAAGCTCCTTGCCGCGGGGCACAAGCTCTGTCGAAGCGAAGCCGAGACTGTAGACCGCGCCCTTGAGCTGGTAGTAGGCACTGATGTTCTGCCAGTGGCCCTCCTCAATGTCTACGACGTTGTCGAAGGCCTCGACGACAGGGGCGCAGAGGTTGAGGGTGAAGTTTGCGCCATAGTCCCAGCCTCTCGGGTGGTAGTCCACCGTGGGCCTGTGCAGACTGTCCTTGGGCTTGGAGCCATCCTCCTTGGCAGGCACAGCAGTGTCTGCGCGGAGGTCGTAGAAGGCACCCGAGCCCGAGGTGGCCGTGCACGGGAGCGTCGACGTCGTCTTGTCGGCTTCGGGGGCGCGCGCGAGGACGGTGGGGGCAGCAAGGGCGACCAGCGCAAGGAGGGCTGCCGGATGTGCGAAGGGCGAGGAGGCCCGGGCGGGTGTTGTCGGGGAGGAGAAGCGCATGGTTCAGGAGAGCTCGTCGAGTCGAGCAGTGTGGTTCCGGCGGTAGCGCTGTCGTCGTTGATGGGTGATGTTGGGGTTGAGAGGATGCGAGCAGGCCAGGCAGCGCGATTCTTATTACGTGGTGAGATGTGATGGGGGGGCAGACGCTAGGCCGGGGGTGTTGCTGCAAGTGCAGGTGCGGGAACGCTGCAGGCTGCAAGAGGCAGCTCGAGGTGTAGTACTTGGTACGGAGCAGAGGTGGGCGCTCCGACGCGGCTGCAACGCTGACGTCGATTGTTCGGCAGAGGCAGGTCCGCCTGTCGACTTTAGAAAGTGGTGTCGTGGCAGATTGGGAGAAATGGCCGAGTCAAATACACGGAGGCACGTAGAGGTAGAGAGGCACACGAGAAAAGAACAAGAAAGACGTCCAGTCTGGACAGAGGCCGATCTCTGCTGCACACAAGACAGGGCCAGCCGTGTCTCATTGCTCTACTCGATCCTATCGAGGCGGAGGCCACAAAAAATGGGACAGTTCACCAACGACGATCAACTATAGCTGTCCCGTTTTTTCTGGCCACCGCCTCGCCTATCTCTCCAGCCTCCGGGCTTGGCAGGTCTGCTCGTAACTGGCAGGAATGCTCGTTCTTTTCGTGGCGTGCATCTCCGCTTCACAGACTTTGCGTCGCCGGGCTAATCTAGACCACCCGCGTGGGACCTGTGCTGTATCCGGCGAAATGCAAGGAGTCTTTGTGCAATCTGACAGCGCTTCTCGCAGTATCCGGGGAAGACACGAAACAATGCTAACAACCAAGCGCGTGCATATTTTTATAGCAGTTGTCCAAACATGATTGATATCTACGGCGGAAATGTTTTCATTTTTCGATGCAGACACTGGCAGAAGGCGACATGAGCCCGGAAGAGCAATGGCCGCCCGTCCCAATGGCGACACCAAGGCAAGGGCACTCTCATCTGGAGACTCCAAGCCACTGCATCATGACGCCTTCACCCAAGTGTGCTCCAGAGCACGTTCTGGCAGGTCGACCCGCCTTACATAAGGCATCATTGCACACAGCCGGGCGTGCCTGGCCAGCCAGCGACCCTTGCGCTAAGGCTCAAGGGGGCAATGGCCTTGGTGGACAAGGATAGATCGGATTCGGCATCATCGATTGGCGTCCCAGCGATCCGAATGTTTACCTTGGCGAGCTTGGTGCAACCCGAGTACGGAGTACTGTACGGAGTACCTACGGTGCAATCTTGTTGCGCCCGGCAGGCTCGTCAGCCCATCCGGCACAGCACCCTCCCGGCGCGCTCCTGTCTGCACGGACAGACGCCGCTACTCCAGACCGCGTGCTCTGGACTCCGTACACCGTGCCTTCCTACTGTTATTAAACTAGCCCGGCCCCCAAGCCGCCACTCCCCTTTCACGCCCACTCCAGAGTTGCCGACACCACGACACACCACGACACACCACCACCACCGGCAGTAGGCGACATCACCATGGCGTCCACCACCAAGAAGCCGGCGAATCACTTCGCCCACGGCTACGAGTTTGGCGGCCCGTAAGTCACCTTTGTGCCTACCACACACACCTTCCGCTACCTCATCTTTACCTAACTTCCTTCCTTGGTCAATAGTATCGGCACTTCGCTCATCACCTTTGGCCTGCCCGTCCTCTGCTACATCTTCGCCTTTGGCTGCAACGACGTCTCCGGCTGCCCCGCCCCGGCACTCCTCAACTTTCCCAAGATCGACCTCCAACAGCTCAAGGCAGAGGTCGGCTGGCCCCAAAACGGCTTCTGGGGCCTCGCCAGCTGGGAGGCCACCGGTTGGACCCTCGCCTACTACCTCTTCAGTGGCCTGCTCTACCGCTTCCTGCCCGCCACTGAGATCCAGGGCACTACCCTCTCTACGGGAGGCAAGCTCAACTACAGGTTCAATGGTAAGCTATATCTGGCCTATACGTTGCCTGGACGACAAACACCGTGGTGTCAATGCTAACAGTGCCTTCCCGCTTCCCACAGCCTTCTCCTCGGCCATCTTCACCCTCGTCCTATGCGCCGCCGGCACCATTGCCCAGGGCGCCGACTTTCCCCTCTGGACCTTCATAGCCGACAACTACGTCCAGATCCTGACGGCCAACATCCTGATCGCCTACTTCCTCGCCACGTTCGTCTACGTGCGCAGCTTCTCCGTCAAGTCCGGCAACAAGGACCTCCGCGAGCTCGCGCCCGGCGGCGTTTCGGGCAACCTCATCTATGACTTTTATATTGGCCGCGAGCTCAACCCGCGCGTAACCATTCCCATCATCGGAGAAATTGACATCAAGGAATGGATGGAGCTGCGCCCTGGCATGTTGGGCTGGATTCTCATGGACTGCGCGTTCATCGCCAAGCAGTACCGCACGTTTGGCTACGTCACTGATAGCGTGGTGCTTGTCACCATCATGCAGACGCTCTACGTGCTCGACGGCATCTACATGGAGCCTGCGATCCTGACCACAATCGACATTATCAACGATGGCTTTGGCTTCATGCTCGCCTTTGGCGATCTTGTCTGGGTGCCTTTTATCTACTCGACTCAGACGCGCTACCTGTCGTCGTACCCGAACTCGCTTGGCTGGGTTGGCATCACAGGCATCAGCACACTTCTTCTCATCGGCTTCGGCATCTTCCGCCTCTCCAACCTGCAGAAGAACATCTTCCGCAACGATCCGAAGGACCCGCGCGTCGCGCACATCGAGTACATGGAGACCAAGAGTGGCTCGCGCCTCATGACCTCAGGCTGGTGGGGCGTTGCCCGGCACATCAATTACTGCGGCGACTGGATCCAGGCCTGGCCGTACTCCCTTCCCACTGGTTTCGCGGGATACACAATCGTGGCCGCCGGCACCATTGTCTCTACTGCTGGCCCGGACGACCAGGTTTTCGCCATGACCGACGGCCGTGTTGTCGTGCAGGGTCCTGCAAAGTACTGGGGCATGCTGTTCACGTACTTTTACGTGCTCTACTTTGCCGTCCTGCTCGTCCACCGCGACGGCCGCGACGACGAGAAGTGCAGCCGCAAGTACGGCGCAGACTGGGAGAAGTACAAGAGCATTGTCCGCTGGAGGATCATTCCTGGCATCTACTAATGTGGCCACGTACTTCGAAACAAGGAGGTGTGAAGGCCTCGGCAGCGCCTTGATGGATGTTGATACTTGTGACTATGCTTTGCTACGGACAAGTTAAGTCAAAGTGCTTAGAGAGGTTGGCAAAAGTTCGTGGCAGTGGAGGTTGACGTTTTACAGATA